AGTGGATCAGACCAGCAGCAGACTACCAAACAGTGACCAATGACGTATTTGGGGTGTAAGTTTGGCTTTGGAGCTTTTTCTTGGTCCAACCACTGAGCTGGTCTTTGATGGTCATGTAAAATCCACTTTTCATGGCACATCACAATCCAGTTGAGAGATGGTTCCTTGTCATTGCATACAATAAGAGAAGATGACAGTTCAAAACAATGATTTTTTTTATTTTTGGTCAGCTCATGAGGCATCCACTTATCGAGCTTTTCACCTTTCCAATTTGCTTCAAATGCCAAACGACCATAGAATGGTTGACTACGTTGAGTTCTTCGCCCACTTCTTGTGTAGCTGTAAGAGGATCAGCTTCGATGATTGCTCTCAATTGGTCGTTGTCAACTTCCAATGGCCAGCCACTGAACTCCTCATCTTCAAGGCTCTCGTCTCCTTTGCAAAACTTCTTGAACCACCACTGCACTGTACCTTCATTAGCAGTTCCTGGGCCAAATGCATTGTTGATGTTGTGAGTTGTCTCCACTGCCTTACGACCCATTTTTAACTCAAATAAGAAAATTGCTTGGATTTTTTTTTTTGTCTAACATCATTTCCATAGTCTAAAATAAAAATCAAATCAACAGCAAGTAATAAATCATTAGCAAAAAAAAAGCAAGAAATGTACATTAAAATGATGTATAACATAACATTAAAGAATGTATTTTAGTATCGAAGGGCAAATTTCAACAACGCTAAAACCGCAGCTAATTTTGCACCAACTTAAGGTATCAACAAGCCATTTTTATTTACTATTTACTTTTGAATAACGGATACGGTATTAAAAGACATGTAGTCTTTCTTCATTATAGGGCAAGCTCCCAATCATGTCAATAATTATTTTTGCTATAATAGCCCATAAATGAAAATACTCAAACATCCAAGCATTTACATAATACCTGTATCTTACTGTAAATAACACTTACGAGTGTCTTGAGGTATCCTCCACAGTTCACAGATGTATACTGCTAAATTACATTACCTGTCTAAGGTCATATTCTTGAAAATGATTAAAAAGTATTTGAAATAATCATTTATAAAAATTAATAATTCTACCAAAGATTACTTAACACTATTATCTAAGTATTAACAGTAAACTAATAGTCAAGGAAAAAAAATGGTGAGTTTTTGTTAGATAGTTCGTTTATATTCCTTAGAAGTCAGCCCTGCTCCATGTGCATGCACATGCCACATACATAACCTGATCTGTGTTAATGATTTTTACTTCATATTAAATAAGTATAAGCATGTTAAATTTGTGTATTTTCTTACCCACTCATTTTAAACCCTCTGTGGGATCTGGCTACAGTAAAATGTCAGCTTGGTTATTACCTTTAAAGTAAGAAATTTCCCAGCAAAATTGGGAAGCTAGTGACAACAAAGTGAAACTAATCCTTCCCAGTTGAGTTTCACTCTTGGTTTCTTTCATGGCATAAACCAACTTGCCCATGTAGAAGTTACACCCTTTCTTTGGTAACATAACTGCAGAAGAGGAGAGAAAATAGCAATGCATTTTACTTACTAACCTTGGTCTACCTACAGCATTTTTCCTTGCCCATGAAAAAAAGTTGTGTGTGTGTGTGTGGAGGAGAAATGACCAAGATCAGTACAGTGGTACTTCTTTGTTCTCAACATTACTGATGTTCCAGACTCTTTCATTTAATTGTATTTTCTCTAAGGAATTTTTATTTGTTTGTTCTGGGCTATTTTGCTGAATATTGTTGCTGTCTTAAGAACAATGTACTCTCAGACCCAGACAGTTTCTGGGTAAATTGAGCAAAAATGAGTAAATTTTTTAGACCTTCAAAGAATAAGAGTTCTTATACTATTTAAACTACTTCAGAGCAGAGGAAGAAGAACTCTTCCCAGTTCGTTTTAGGAAACCGAGCATAATCTTGACATCTATTAATAAACCTGGTAAAGATAACAGAAAAAGGTGACCATAGATGGATATCAGTTATTGATTTTAAATAAAAATGTTACCAAAAAGGAATCAATATATGCTTAAATATTATACCATGACCAAGCTTAAGATTGGTTCACAAACTGGAAATATAGTAAAACAATTTACAATCATTAACAGGTCAAAAAGAAAAAAAAAACAAACAAAACACCTATGATAGGTTATTAGAGATGCCAAAAAGCCATTTGACAAAATTCAACTTCTGTTTTTGATAAAAATGTTAAGTAATGGAAAGATGAGGCTGGGTGTGGTGGCTTATGCCTGTAATCCTGACACTTTGGGAGGCTGAGGCAAGAGGATTGCTTGAGGCCAGGAATTCAAGACTAGCCTGGAATTCACTTTGTTAACAAAGCAAGACTCCATCTCTACCAAAAAAGAAAACAAAAAAATTAGCTGGGTTGTACTGGTGCGCACCTGTAGCCCCAACTACCCAGAAGGCTGAGGTGGGATGATCATTTGAGCCCAGGAGTTTGAGGTTGCAGTGAGCTATGACTGAGTGAATCCACTCCAGCCTAGGCAAAAAGAGCAAGACCCTGTCCCTAATAACAAACAAACAAACAAACAAACAAACAAACAAAAAGAAGTAATGAAAAGACATTATCTCAACACAAGAAATACAGATACCAAATGAACATCGAACATCAATTATTTAAAATTGTTCTCAAAGTGCCAGCCCATGCAAACAGATACTCCCCCTCCCCAATCATAAAAATGATTTTAGACACAATCCAAATATTGGTTCTCTGTATAGATCCTAATAAGCTAGAACTATTAAAGGAAACTTCCTTGATGAATAGAATTTATTAGAAATTAACAGTAGACTTCACATATAATGACATAGTAAAAACATGCCCAAATCAAGAAACAAGATAAGGATGACCAGAATCATTGTTATTTTTTTATCACCATTCTGAGGAAGCTAGCAATTCATTAAAGCAAAGAAAGTATAAGAGATAAGATTATTACATTTAGATGACTGTTTTCCTAGAAAGTTCAAGAGAAAAAATGTACTAAAACTAATAAATTTAGAATGTTGGCCAGATATATAAACACTCATCTACATACCAATGACAAAATATTATAAAATATAATGATTAAAATCTCAAAAGGATTATTTTAATGGGACATGAACAATTTATTTTAAATTTTATCTGAAAGAAAATGCAATAATATTCAAGACAATTTTAAAAGGAAAAATGAAGAAGGACTTGCCCTATGAATTACTAAAAAAATGCCACAATCAAAGCAGATTGGTATTTGTAAAGGGAGAGACAAATGGATCAAAGCAACAGATGAATCTAAAAAAAAAAAAGACACATGTACACATGAGAATTTACTATATTAAGGAGGTATTCCCAGTCAGTTGGGAAAGAACTAATTTCAACAAAGGATTACTGGAAAAATGGCTACTCATTCATGAAAAAAAGGAAAAAATTAAATCTCTATCTTATACAATGTACAAAAATAATTTTCAGATGTTGTAATGAATAAATCATAAGAATTAACAGATAACATAGGAGAAGATTTTAAAAATTTTTGAGTGGAGACTGCCTTCTTACATGAGATACAAAACCTGGGAATTTTAAACCAAAACACTGACAGTTCTTGAAAAGATGTCATATATTTCACAAAGGATTAACATATGTGTATTCTAATGAGAAACAGATAATTTTGAAGAATAATGGACAATATGTATGGACAGGGCACATTAAGCAATGGTTAACTACATTATGGTACATCACAAATGAATAATACGCTGACATTACAATAGAATACAGCTACATATGGCAAGACTTCCACCATGTAGTTTTAATATGAAACACATGATAGAACAGTATGTATAGATAATCGCATTTTCATAAGAAAGGGAAATAACGTGACTATGCACGTATAGGAGAGATGTGGAAAGCCTTCGATTACATATTGTTGGGGAGGGGACCGAGGGGTTTTTCTTTCTGTTTTATATGTGGTTATATCATTTGAGGGTCCCACCCAAATGAGGTGGACAAAATAATTTTCAACAGAATACATTGCTTGCTTCTCTGCCTCCTCTTGTTTGAATGTGTATTCCAGTTGTGATAGGGAAGCAGATCATTTTCTTTTCCTTGAATTTCAAGTTACCTAACTTCCTTTACCACCATTTCTCCCTTATGATAACTAGTCAAAAGCATCCCTTGTGAGATAAATGACACTTTACATAGCAAGGCTGCTTTACTTTTGCTCGTTACAGCATAACAGTAAGACAGCATAACGTCTCTTTGATTATCTTCCCTCTTTCTACTTCTTGACAAGCACAGCTTTTTACGCCTTTAACCCGTGGCTCGACATTTACACCTGGGTGGGGACTCTATCCAACGCCTGGGTTCCCACTATGGGCGGGGTTTGCCTCTGCTCTTTCCGCCTCAGCCACCCATTCTCTCCGTGACCCTCTGGGAAGTTACAAAACTTCTCATTGAGCAGGCTATGATGACACCATACAGGAAAGCAGAGAGCGGAATTGTGCAACCACCTTGTGAAAAACAACAAAAAGGACCTATTAAAAAGTTTGCGAAAGAGTAACCACGATAGTATTTGATTCTGGGAGGCAGCTCCTCTCCCGAAGGGAAGTCGGGGACACTCCTGAAGGGGTCCACTGCTCACCCCGCCACCGCAGGCCCCGTCGCCCCCGTTTTTCAGGCTAAGGAGTCAAGTCACCCAGAGCGGCCGACGCGGAGACTGGCCAGGTTCCTCCCCTATAGCCGTGGGGGCGGGAGCTGTCGTTGCTGTGCTGACGTCGCGGGCCCGGAAAGCCCCTTCTCAGTCCGCTCCGCGACACGGACCCCGGGGTTCCTCTCACACAAAATCCCTCCCCAATCTGTGAACTAGTTGTCTCCGTTGTTATTCTGCTTCTCTCCCTGCGGCGCCCACACTGCCACCGCGTCCCTCTCGCTCACACAAACAAGTTCTCCGTCGCCGGAGATTCGGACACACCAACTCATTCACGAAGTTTCTTACTCACAGTTCAGGGATTCCGCTAGTCTTTCAAGCGTCAAGTCGCCGGCAACCGACCGACTGACTGCAGCCGGAAGTTATTTTCCGTTCCAGTTCAGAGGGCAGCGCCTGCGCGCGGAGCCATTAATCTCCTCACCCTCCACCCGGCATGGCCAGGCCGGCGGCCCTCCCGCCCCGCCCCTCTAGTCCCGCCCACCCTCGCTCCGCCCCGCCGAAGCCCCACTCCGCCCCGCCCCGCCCACCCTCGCTCCGCCAGGCCCTGCCCATCTCAGGGAAAACGTCAGCCGTGGAAAGGAATCCAATGTCTAGTTTTAAAGATTACCTGAGGGTCTTGGCTAGGTTTTTTGCCAAACAATAAATAACCAGTAAATAAATAACCGATAAATAAATAACATCACCCTATATATGAGTTAGAGTACACAAGCATCACCTGAGAAGCTTGTTAACATGCAATTTCACCAACCAACCCTGAGAGATTCCACTTCAGAGCAACTGGGGTGAAGCCCAGGAAACTGCGTTTTCAACAGATTCTCATATGAATGTGGTTACAGTGGTTAAAGTCCACACTCTGAGAAACACTACACTCACACCCGCTTGGTTTTTCTCCAACTAGTAGTGCTTTTCACTAAATGTACTTGCTAAAGTTGAATGGTTGATAAATGGAAGTAGAACTTGATTAGAAAATTTCTAAGACTTTCCCATTTTTTCCATTTCCTAGCCATGTTTGAATATTCTCTAAGGTAGAAATTTTAGTCAAATACTGCAAGAAAAGTATCTTTTCCCTTTAGAGCAAGAAGATCAGGTTCTGGCTGCCCCAATTTCTCCCTGTCCTTCAGAATCATGGGTGTTTACACATCTTTCTTTAGGCCAGTAAGTCCAAGGATTTAAAAACCTGCCAAATTACGTTGCATTCTACCTGGTTATCTTGAATATTGGGCTTACTTTTAAAAGTCAAAGTCAAAATATCATTTAAAAATTTTTTAACAATCTTCTGATATATTAATATAACATTTTGACTAGATGAATAATTTTCTTGTAATAAGTAATTGAGTTAAACATGACAATACAACACTGCTTAAGAATTTTGTTAAACACCTTTTTTAGAGCAATTTTGGGTTTACAGCAAAATTGAAAGGAATGTCCAGACATTTCCCATACGCTCTCTGCTCCCACATGTGCATAGCCTCCCCCAGTATTAATATCCCTCACCGAAGTGGCAGTGAAAAAAGCTGCTATAAACATCCATGTGCAGGTTTTTGTATGGACAAAAGTTTTCAACTTCTATGGGTATGGGTATACCAAGGAGTATGATTGCTGGATCGTACATAAGAGTATGTCTAGTTTTGTAAGAAACTGTCAAACTGTTTTCCAATGTGACTGCATTCCCTCCAGCAATGAATGAGAGCTCTTGTTGCTCCAAATCTTTGCCAGCATTTGATGATGTCAGTGTTCTGGATTTTGGTCATTCGAATAGGTATGTAGTGGTATCTCACTGTTGTTTTAATTTGCATTTCTTTGATGACATATGATATGGAACATCTTTTCATATGCCTATTTGCCATCTGGTTATCTTTTGGGGAGGTATCTATAAAGGTCTTTGACCCATTTTTTAATTGGGTTGTTTTCTTACTGTTGAGTTTTAAGTGTTCGTTGTATATTTCGGATAATAGTCCTTTACCAGATATATCTTTTGTAAATATTTCCTCCTGGTCTGTGGCTTGTTGTTTTATTCTCGTGAATAAAATTATACTAAATTCTCTTTTGCAAAGCAGAAAATTTTAATTTTGATGAAGTTCAGCTCATTCAGCACTGCTTGAACAAATTGAAGGAGCTGCTTTGAAGATTTCTGATTGACATAGTAGAATTTAATAATACACTCAGAATCTGAAGCTGAATGCAAAGGCATTTTGAAATATGGAAGTGCTAAAAACTTTGAATAAGAAAAGAAAAAACTAGATATACACATTTGTTAAATATATATTTTTTCTCTCTTTCTACTCCCATAATGTTGTAGTCATGAAGAGAAGTGGCTGTATAGATCCCCATATGTGGAAAATGCATTAATGCTGGTAGAATTATTTTAGATGGATGAATTTTGTGCTAAAATAGTGTTGAACATTTTTCTTTTCCTATAACTATGATGAATTATTTAGAATTCACATACAGATTATTTTATGAAGGTTAGGAATTGAGTTGAGACATTTACTTGAGGAAGAGTCCTTTAAAAAAATGACATAATTTTATTCCTGTTTTTTTCCACTCCTATTATTACATACTTCAGGTCAGCAAATGATCTAGCATTGGGGGTGAGGTAGGGACTGCAGCCTTATTAGAAGTATTTTGGAAGTTATTTTTAAAACTGCTTAATATTTTATTGAGAGTTCTGAATATAAATCTAAGGAAAAGGAAATCTGCCAGTATAAACATTTACTATAACTTGGAATGTCAGGTATGATCTCAGTCAAATCTTTGACGAGAAATATTACTGTTAATAGAATCTGGTTGACTTGTGATTTAAGATGACATCTGGACTAGCTGTGTCTCAGACTCTCCAACTAAAATGCCTATGAAAAATTGGAAAAATATGAGAAGTTACAATAGCATCAGAAGGCAGGACTGACAACTGGGGCCACTGTATGTGGTTGAGCTGGCTGTACTTACTTGCCAAGCCTTGCCCCATTCAGCATGAGTCTTCCTGGACGGGTGTTTTGCTAATTCACTCAAAGGCACCGTAAAAGTAGCTGCAACTCTGTTGACAAGCACCTTACTGCCAGAACTTGATAGGATTTTGCACTTATTGCAAGAACTGTGGAGCTGAAATAGACATGTACTTTTTTGTTAGAAGGCAAGCAAATCTACTGGCCTGAAGGATAGTAAGGAAGCTAGCTGCCTCGTGGCAAGTACTAGTGAATTGAACAGTAACTCCACTACTATGTATGATTTTTAAGTAGTATTTTATACCTCTCTGCCCCAATGTCCTCCATCACCTCTCTCTGTTACCCATTTTGAAGCTACAGCTTGGAGATTACCAGCGATACCCCAATGAGATGGATAGATGTGATGCTCTGTATACAAGCATGTGAAGCCAGTAACGAAAGAAGGTGGGCAGACAGGGCTGGGTATTTGACTCTCTCTGGAGGGTTAATTTTTCATACATGGTTTCTACCAAGTGAAAGACGAAAAATTGTTTCTGATTAACCAGGAATTCTCCTCTTCCTAGTAAAATAACTAGCCAGTAAAGGTAAGGGATCTCACCTTAGCCCAACACCCACAATGACAAAGTTGATAAATGTCAGCTGCAAGATAAGAAGTTAGCTGTCAACTGTGTATGTCTATTTGCCTCCCAGCCCAAGATCTATGCTGAGGGACTAATAGCAATCAGACGGATAATGAGAAGAACCAAGTAAAATACACACATTCAGTTAGTAAAGGTGACATAAGACTTGGAATGAGTGAATACAAGAAAAGCATCCCTTTGAAAAGATTTGCTGCATAAAGGAGAGTCCTCGAAATGCAAAGAAAGCCAGCACTTTGGAAAATGGTTTACCAGAAGCAGAAGTAAGTGGAAAGAATTTGCTTTTTATTTTCTATGCAAAAAGAGATGAAATATAAGACAAACTGTTACATTAAGGTAAGGAGGGACCTAGAGACATGGAGAAATAAAAACAAAGCTGGATAAGTTAAGGCTGTAAGGACACAGAACATGCAATGGCAAAATTCAGATATTATTTGGACATAATCAAGAATGCAATCAATATTGCAGAATATTAAATCAATGACTAAAATCTTGGAAAACTATCAAAACGTGAACAGAAAGAACAAATAGATGACAATTATTAAATGAAATAGTGGAAACTATTCAAGAGATTGGGATAAATGGGACAGAAATAGCAACCAAAGATATATAAGAAGATAACTGAAATAAAAATTTGATCCAATGTAATACTTCATTAGAGATAAAAAGTACTCAGTGAGTTTTGAAATAAAAGAGTCCAAACACCTTGACCTATCTTGATAAAAATTTCAATATTAAACGCTGTATCATTTCATTCCCTTATTCAGCAAATATTTTGTGAATGCTTGCTATGTGCTAAGAGTTAGGGAAGGAAATATGACCAAGATACACTCCTACCTTAAAAGAACTTAGTTTCTGCAGTGGGTGACATATGTACAAAAAGCAGGCAATCACTACACCATGTGGTATTACAATATTACAATAGGGGTAAGTATAGGGTACCCTGAAAGCACATTGGAGAGGTCTTAGTCCAAGCTTGAGAGGGTGAAGGAAGTCTCCTGGTATATAAAGTATAGAAAAAGTCCAACAAGAATCCAGGTAGAAAAAAATAAATTACTTGTGAAGGAAGAAAAATAGACTTGTCTTCAACACTAAACGTCAGAAGCTGAATAGAATAACATTTACAGTTGCCTGGGAAAGGTTTGACCTAAAAAGTTTATACCTACCCAAGTTATCATTCATATGGAAAAGGAAAGCAAAGACATTCTTTGATATCTAAAGGTTTAGAAATCATACCACCCATTTCTTGACACAATTGAAGATATACTTCAGTTAGTCAAGAAGGAATCAAAATTAAAAACTCAAGAAAGGTGAAATTCTGATATAAAATAAATATTAGAAAACATTTAAAATAATTTAAATATTGGATTAAAGAAAAACATGTTGCAAATACAAACAATGGGAAAATTTAAAGTAATTTCTGAAACATAAGATATACATGATTATTTAATAAATAATTTAATAATAATACTGTGGTCTGAACTTCCTGATTATAGCAATAAAAACTGAAGTGAGTGGTAGAGAGGAGGAAGGAAGTAAATGTGTTCTGCTAATTTACTCATTTTCTCATCTTCTATATATGGAAATAAGAAAATGATAGACTCTCATTCTAACTCTGATAATTAAAGATATATTATTTTAGGTTTTTTTAAAAAGTGAAAGTAAATAACTACAAGTAGAATTAAAAATTTTATGTTTATTTTTATGTTAATAGAGGAAAAAAGAAAGAAAACGTTGCCCATATAACAAAGATATAAAACTTTTAATTCCCAACATTTATCAGTCATCCAATCAGGTAAAATCTGTGAGTACTCCTCTGCAATATTTCTTGTATGTATAGACTCTGTGTCCCCATTGTCACATTCTGTCTCCATTGCCATCCTTT